CTTTTTTTTCCCTCTTCCTTTACTGTTTTTTTAAATGTAATTTCCTTTATTTTTTTACTAGGAGTTGTTATTTTTTATATCAGCAGGGGGTTTGTGAAATGAGACTATTACCCACAAGGGTGGGAATGTAATTACTAAAACGTTAGGGGGTGGGTAGTAATTGGACCAAACCTCAAGGGGTGTCAATGTAATTTATCCAAAAATATATTAGTCTATTATATTTTAATAAATTTAGGAATATTATATGGAGTGTGAATATCAATTAATTTACAAATTTAACGTATAAATAAATTTAATCTTATTAAAAATTTATAAAAAAAATGTTTGGTTAGTTAGTAAATTTATAAAAAAAAATTACAAATTTATAATCTTATTAAAAATATATAAATTTAGGAATATTATATGGAGTGTGAACAATAAGCATAATAAATAAAAAAACGTATAAATAAATTTAATCTTATTAAAAATTTATAAAAATAAATTAGTTAGTAAATCTAGTTAAATATGTAGTATTCATTAGTTTTGAAACAAAAATATGATTTTTCAACTTACCACAATAATTAAGCAAACTTATCACTTATATGATTATACTTTACTATTCCACAAAATTCACTCATTTATTAGCAAAATTCACTTAACTAACTTTTTAGGTAGCTGGTAAACTGTGGAGATATATTTTATGAGTACCAACACGTGGCCAATGTGACGCCGACGTGTCAGCCGGGGTGCCACATGTCCTGGTCGTGACGCCGAGATGATCTCGGCTAGGCCGAGGTTATCTCCGAAGATATCGGAGTCCGGGATAAGTGGATAAGGGACAAGAGTCATAGAATGAGAACGAACCTCAGCTTGGATAAGGATAAAACTCTTAGGGAGTTTATCTTTATGTATTGGAGAATCCAAGATGAGTACTGAGCTAAAGTCCATTGAAGCTAGGCTTCTATTGGGACTGTGTTTGTGTTGGCTATAAAAGAGAGGCACCCACATGGGTCTAAGGTACGCATTTTGTACTCTGAATAAGTGAATAAAGCACATTTTTATCTTTGAAAGATAATTGACTTGATCGCCGGAGTGCCCCCAGGTAGACGAACCACCGCCGGAATCTCTTCTTTCTGTTACAGGTCATTCAGGCGCCATCTATTCTGCTAGTGCTCTCTAGCTGAATACCGAGTTGGTAGTGTAGTCAGAAATTCACTCACAAATGTGAATTTTATAAAGTAGAACGTAAAAAAATTATAATAAATTTTGAAAACTTCTAAAACAAATATGAAATTTATAAAGTAGAACGTAAAAAAATGTAAAATAATCAATATAAAATTTTACATTTTTGTTTAATAATTTGAGATCCATAACCTGATTTTATTACTTATAAATTTTGTATACTTTATATAATTTATATGAATTTCATATCAATTTTTTTTGAAGTTTTAATTATTTCACAATTTTTTATGAATTTACTGTGCACAATCAAATATCTCTATTTTATTTTAACCTTCTATGATGTTTTTAATTCAATTTTAAGGTTTTGTTATAATAACATTTCATCTAATTACAGAAAAATAATGAGGTTTTACTAAGTCGTAAGAAAAATGAAATATGATGGAATAATAAGCAGAGTCAGATTGAGTGGTAAGTACAGTTTAAACGAGTAGTAAATCTAATATGATAAAGTAGTAAGTCATGTTTAATTGAGTAGTTAGTGATTTTTTTTTTTGTTTTTCTTTCACTTTAAAACCAATACTTATTATAACAATACTTACAACTTATTGAGATAATACTTACTATCCATAAACACAATAATACTTACCATTTATTCTCATTGCATTTACCTTGAGACTTACCATTCGTTCTACTTACCACTCAATACTAAGTGAAATCTTATTAAGTAATAATTCAGGTTGAATAGAGTAGTAAGTGGACATTTTAAATTACTTTAAAACCAATTGTGACATTACTTATCACTTATTATAACAATACTTACAACCTATTGAGATAATACTTACTATTTGTTTTCATTGTACTTACCACTCATTGTGATTCTACTTACCATTCATTCTACTTATCACTCAATAATAAGTGAAATCTCATTAAGTAGTAATAATAAGTGGACATTTTAATTATTTACAACTAATTATGACATTATTTATCACTTATTATAGCAATTCATACAATTCATTGATATAATAATTATTATTCATAAATACAATAGTTACCATTCGTTTAATTGCATTAACCACTCATTGTGACTCTATTTACCATTCATTCTTGTCACAATCTGACCCCACCCTGGTACCCAGAGGTTAGCCGTCACAACTAATTTATAACTGAGGTCACCAAAGGCCATTTCTTTAATTAATTGATTAATAACACAACAGAGTAAAATAAAAATGGTACCTAAATAAGTAGTAAGTCAAGTTTGATATAGAGTAATGAGTGGAGTCTCATTGAGGAGTAAATGTCGTTTAATTCAATAGCAAGTCAAATTTGATTGAGTAGTAAATGAGGTTTGATTGAATAATAAGTCAACTTAATGAAATGGTAAATCAAGTATCATTGAGGCCTATTTTGGGAAGTGGGTTAAAAGTCGCATCCTGGCTTTTAACTCACTTTCTTCTCTCACAAAAAAGTCAAAAAATAATTTTTAACCATCTTCCCAAAGCACCCATGAGTAGGATAAATAAAAGCCTTTTAGTAATTTTTATAAATTCAAATCTTTTTAAAAATACCTAACATATCCAAAAATATATATATATATATTTAATAATTTGATAAAGTAATAAGCGGGATGTTATTAAGTAATAAGTGGGCTCATATTTAGGAGTTGTTTGGGATATCCTAAATAAGTGTATTTTTTGACTTTTTGGACTAAAAAGTAGAGAAAAAAAAGATGATTGTTTGAGATAATTTTTTGTCTTTTACGAAAAAAATGTGTATTAAAATATTGTATAAAATAACAAAATTACGTTTTTACCCCTACATATATATGTATTGACAGTGATGGTACACAAAAGACAGTACAGTGGCAACAAGAGATATAAGAAAAACTTGCCTACAGTGCTGTTTACACAAGACGGTGTTGTTCGGCCCGTGGGGGCCCACCACAGGTTCCGTTTTGATAATCAGAATCGTTAATGTATAGAACTTATCGAGTACTATGTGTTTGTAAAAAATCACATTGATAGGATATCGATAGCTATCTGATCAGATTAGTTTTTTGTCAACTGTTACTTTGTGCACGGTCTAATTTTTATATAAAACTGATTTGATCATATAGTTATCAATATCCGATCAACGTGATTTTTTATAGGCAAATAGTACTCGACGATTTCTACATATTGACGGTTCAAATTATCAAAAAAGAACCTATGATGGGCCCCTACGGGCCGAACAACATCGTGCTGTGTAATTTTTGTGTGCACCCTCTTTTCAAACTCACCATCACTTCAGATCACTATGTCACGTTTAGCCATGATGTTGGCTTATACCTTTTTTTGTGAAAGTTTATATATATATTTTTTGAATAGTGATCATTTTTTGACTTTTGTAATAACTTTTTGACTTTTTTCAAACACCCCAAACCAGCCCTCAATCATTATCGCTACCAAGATGGATTGTAGAATTCAATGTCGAAATCATACTTAGCATTCATAAATATAATATTTACTATTTGTTGTGATTCTACTTACCAATTAATAGTAAGGGGAGTCTTATTGAGTAGTAAGTGAGTTTGATTAAATTATAAATCAAGTCTAATGAAATAGTAAATGAAGTTTGATTAAATAGTAAGTAAAGTATCATTAATGGTAAGTGGTGTATGATTAAGTAATAGTAAAATGTCATTAAATAGTCAGCATTTATAAACACAATACTTACAATTGGTTTTGATTCTATTTACCACTAATTGTGACTCTACTTGTCACTTAATATTTTACCATTTTTACAAATTTTGAATACTTACAATTGGTTAGCAATCTACTTACTATTTATTATTAAAATGTATACCATATGCAAGTTATGACATAATCACTTTTAGTTATAACTAAAAACAAAATATATTGGGTCATAATTAAATACCACTTAAAGTATAACCAAAAACCTTTTCAGTTATAATTAAAATAATAATCACAATATATCATATCCAACATCACAGTGAGTTATGACCAAATGTAATAACTAAACACTACTTTAGATATAACCAAAAATCTTTTCAGTTATAATCAAAATAAAAATTAAAAAATGTCATAATTAAAAACCACAAGAGATTATAATTAGTCATAAATAATACTATAATGTGCTATAATCAAATCATAATCAACACCCTCAATAAATTATAATTAAATACTGCAAAGGTCATAACTAGGAATACGGTACTGATGTATATTATAAAATTTCCAGTAAACACAGGTATAAATAACAATAAATATATATTTTAATGTTAAAAAAATGACATCACTTTTATCCAACATAATTATGTCAATTTCATGATAATCATATTTTTTAAATCCTAAAAAAGATTAGTGTAATTTTTTTTTTAAGGGAAAATAAACAATCAGCATGTAATTGAAAAAAATTTCAAATTCAAGATTAAATTTACAAAATTTAATTATGAAAGTCAGACGTTTATTTATAAATATATGAATACTTTTGAAAACTATAACTAAGTGGTGCTTTAGGAAATTGATAAAAAATTGATTTTTTGATTTTTTTGTATTTTTTGATTTTTTTATATAAAAAATAGAGAGATGATGTGATCTAAAAAAGTCAAGAAAATCAAAAAAAAATTGACTTTTTACTATGTTGCTAAAACGCCCCAAAATTGTAATTTTTTTCCTTTTTTATAAATGATTTGATGAGAAATATTGCATAACAGAGTCACATAACTTTAGTTCAATATAAAAAAATAAAAAATAAATAAAAAAAGAGCAATAACTACCTGCACGACGGGTTAGTACCCGTGAGCCAAGTTGTATGGACCATGGTACATAAAAAGCCACTTTTAACACAACCAGCTTTTTACTCACATTTCCGTCCCGCCCACCTCTCCGCCTCAAAAATCGCCCATGCAAAGATAACCCATCTGCCAAACAGTTCCCTCCTTCAATTCCTTTCACTATATATCTCTGCTCATTCCTATGAGACATTCTTGACCCCATCTCTCTCTTTTTTGTGAACTAGGTTTTTTTCTTTCTTCCTTCTAGTCTTGCGTGTCACCAATCATCAGTTTTGGCATTGGTCGATTTTAACAGGTAATGATCTCTCCTTTCTCATCTTTGTTAGTTCTTGATTTTGCTTGAATTCTCCGTTTTCCGTGCACAGGGCTTTTGAATAATTTCTAATCTTTCTCTCTAAATTGAGCATTTTACTTGTTTGTAAGTTTATGCGATTGAGTTTTTTTTTTTTTTGGCTTGGTACTATGCGATTGAGAGATGTTCTGTAATAAATAGTTTACTAGAGACTGTAATCTGATTTTGTGAGATGGGTTTTTCATAATTTGTGAAATCTTTAGATGACCCCATTCCTGTTCGATGAAATGCTCAATCCAACTCTTGGGTTTATGTTGTTGTATTTTTTAGACTTTGTTAGTTTGAGCCCATCTATGGTCCTGTGAGTTAGTGAGCTGAACTAAATACATAAGCAATTGATCGACTGAGACACAGAATTCGTAAGTTTGTTTGGGTATGATTTCTATGGGAGAAGGTAGTGGAGAATTATGTTACAATTAAAAATGGCTACACAACAATCACTCACACAAATTTGGAAGAGAACTGGAGAAGGAAAAATACGACTCTTGTATTTCACTCATATCTCAAATGACCAGGTTACATGGCTATATATGATACTCCATAACTTATGAAATAAACACCATACTAATCACCATTACATGCATGAAAAACATAACTCTCAAAATAATAAAAACTAATTTATTCTTTTCAACAAATTAATCAATGGATTTCAATACATCTACTAGTTGGGCATTTTAGTTAACATTATTGCCATTTTGTTGAACATGTCCAAGCACCTTTCTTTTTTGATAAACTGAGGTGAAACGTTTTAACTCTACTAGAAGAGTATGCACACGTAGTGTGCAATTGAAAATTTTATGGAGATCGTTGGTGAGAATCTGTGAAGCATAGATACTCTAAAAAATGCCATGTACGTGTATTGGATACTTATCGGATACACATCGGATATGGCCAGATATGTATTAGATACGGCTGAAGTGTATCCAAAAATTATTTTTTATTTTTGCCATTTTCGGATATGTCTTGGATACGGGATGGATACATTCAGGATATGGCAGGAGCCAAAACAAATTTTTATAAAGATTTTGATAAGGGTCAAATTGTAAATTAAAAAGTTTAATACAAGTAAAAAAATACTAAACATATGGCACTACATAAGTACTTATGGAATGATCAAACTAAGAAAAAAAAGGAAGGTACGTTAGCCTCTATAGAGACAAAAAAAAAAAAAATTAAAAAAAGCAACACCATCTACCTCCAAAGGCTGATCCACCTTTTTCCTTTCTATCGTCATCTTCACCAAAATACTTCTACATTGACATTGATGTTCTTAACTTGATATATTTTTTTAAAGCTTGCTTTAGGATTTGGCATGTTTTGAAAATGTTTGATATTATTAAAAATAATTAAAAATATATTTTCTTACAGCCATATCCTGGTTGTACCCGTATCTTACTTTTTTAGGTTTTGACATATCGTCGTATCCGTATTGTATCATATCCGTATCACATATCTATGTCCATGCTTCCTAGGTGAGAATAGAGGGAGAGAATCTGTGTAGTGGGCAGCAGTTTTTTAGTATAGATATGATTATGAACTGAAGGCTCTGTTCTACTTTTGTGCAGATTACCTCAACTTCAGTGATTTAAGTTCTCTGTGGAACTAGAAATGGAGGGAGGGACGAACAGTAATTCAAGCAGGTTCTTTCAACGCTTGTGGATGTATATTCGAAAATTTTTGTTTAGTATTCTATGTGTTGGTCCCATTCCCGACCACATTGCCTTTATCATGGATGGGAACCGAAGGTATGCTAAGAAGCAAAAACTTGAAGAAGGGTCCGGCCATAAAGCCGGTTTTTTAGCACTGATGTCTCTGCTGAAGTACTGCTATGAATTGGGGGTGAAGTACACAACGATCTACGCGTTCAGCATTGATAATTTCAGAAGGCGACCCGAAGAGGTTCAATATGTCATGGATCTAATGCTGGAGAAGATTGAAGGGTTGCTCAAGGAAGAGAGTATTGTGAATCAATTTGGAGTGAGAGTGAGTTTTGTAGGAAACTTAAAACTTTTGAACGAGGCTGTGAGGGTTGCAGCTGAAAAGGTAATGATAGCCACGGCTAATAACACGAAGACCAGGTTATTGATCTGTGTGGCCTATACTTCATCCGATGAGATAGTGAATGCTGTTCAAGAATCTTGCAGAGAGAAATGGCATGGGATCAAAGCATTAAATGGCATGAAGAATGATGAGATTCAAGCATTGGATGGTGAGATGAGCGAAGAATATCAAGAGAAAAATCCGGGTATAAAACTGGTAGATCTTGAAAAGAACATGTACATGGCTATAGCACCTGATCCGGATATTCTGATCCGAAGTTCAGGGGAGACCCGTCTGAGCAATTTTCTTTTATGGCAAGCAACCAACACTCTCTTGTGTTGCCCAAGAGCGTTGTGGCCAGAGATGGGTCTGTGGAATTTGGTGTGGGCAGTATTGAAATTCCAGCGGAACTACTCGTACATGGAGAAGAAAAAGAAGCAGCTATAACAATCTATTTGATATCGCCACAGTTTTTTGTGTCGATTGACTAGAAGTCTTTTCCCCTTGGTCCACAAAACCTTCTGCAATTGTGCAACAAAATACACTTCCTGATCTGCAACTACTTCAGTTTGTTAGGTTCATATTGCATTATGTACTAGTAGTCTCAGCAATAGTTAGCATGTATGCTATTTTATCATTGAAAAAGCTTTCAATCTAGGTACTTATTTTATATGCAATGCGCTTGTGTTTGTACACCCCAATTTGAATATACAATAAGTGTTCACACTTTTGACTTTAATCTTGATTGGGTTATTTGGATTGGTGTTGCGATCATCCTATTCATATTGCAGGCAATCTTGTTGTGGGTCTTATTATTTTGATTAGTGCGGTTGAAAAATGGCTTGTGTATAATATTATTTTTTGCTAACTTTGAGCATTAATTAAGGTGGGACTCAATCGTTATTTTTAATGTTTTTAATTGGGTTCATGTTTAATGCCGCGTAATGAATAAATTCATGTATTTGATTACTCAAAACCATTTCCGAATGAATAAGAATTCAACGCGCATTTTTAGGTTCGTGGAACTAGTTTTTGGTGGTTTTTCTACACATGTGAAATGTGTTTATCCCACGTTAGAAAGGCTTGAGGTTTTGAATGGGTTTATACATCTTAGCTTGGGATACTTGGGATGGGCCCTAAGGGGTACTCAACTTTGTAGAAGAGTGAGGTTATGGGTAAAATGGGCTAGATGTTTTGGACCCAAAATAAAAACTGCGCGCGCCCACCCACCCGGGCGGGCAAGGTGCGAGGTTGGGTTGGACTTGTCCAGCCCAATACTTATCTTTTTGGGCAAAAAACTTTTGTAATTTATTTTTTATTTTTTATTTTTGGTTTCAAAATGCAAAACCTTTGAACCCAAAATAAAAACCACACGCGCGCGAAGCGGCTGCCCACTCAGGCGGATTGGGCGCAGGTGCGAGGTTGGGTTGGGCTTGTCCGGCCCAATACTTATCTTTTTGGGCCAAAAACTTTTGCAATTTATTTTTTATTTTTGGTTTCAAAATTCAAAACCTTTGGACCCAAAATAAAAACCACATGTGCGCGCCGCCGCTGCCCGCTCGGGCGGGTTGAGCACGGGTGCGAGGTTGGGTTAGGCTTTTTCGGCCCAATACTTATCTTTTTGGACCAAAAAGTTTTGTAATTTATTTTTTATTTTTGGTTTCAAAATTCAAAATAAATTGGTCCAAAATATTTTCTTCACCCAAACAAGTCCCTAACAGGTTCATACCACCCGAACAGGTTCAGAAAGGTCAAAAACAGGTTCACACCTGTTGAATTCAACTGTTTATCTGTTCAAACAGATTGGTACCTGTTCAATATGTTCAAACAGGTTTTCCACCTGTTCGAACAACCACCTTTCCTTCTATAAAAAGCCAGTCTTCCTGCAATTCAGAACAGAAATTTTTCCATCAGATTTTCGTCTTTCTTCTCCTCTTTCTGTCTCCCTATTTTCTGCATTTAATTTTAGGAAAAGAAAGAGAGAGTTTCAACAAAGTTTTGATTCGCTAGACTTCATTTTATAGTGCTGTAAAATCAAGTGTTAGTCGTTGCATCCTGGAAAGTAGACGCTGGTAAAACTCGAAGCACCGGAGCGAGGGCGAAATCTACTTTAAAGAGATTGTGTCCAACACAAGCCTTGACATTAATTTCTGTAAGTATTTAATTCGAAAAATAATTTATATAATTATTTTTTGAATTATTTTATTTTATTTAATTTATATATTTAATTTACACCCACACCTTTGTGAGAATAATAAGTGCTTTTTCTTTTTCTTTAAGTTTTGTTCAAATGCGCCACCTGAAATATCCAGAATGGTTTTGTTTGTGAACTTATTTTTGTCAGAATTTTGGTATTAACCAAATTATCTTGGTGGATTGAGAAATTTTCAAGCCGCTCATTCTCAAATCGGTGGATGTTCGGGTTAAAAATATATAATGAAATATAATAAAAAAAATTTATAATTTTTTACATTTTTAAACAAAAATTACTACTTATTCCAAATCCAACACAAAACTCACAAGTTAATCATGACGTTATTTAAAATTACATTTTATAAATTAAAATATAAAATAATCAAATTAAGAAGAAAATGAAATGAAAACAAGAGATGAATGAACAAGTGCAAGATAATTTTCTGTATACATACAAATACAAGTAGATTAAATCAATTTTTATGCAAATTGATAAATTTTAAACCGCATAGCAATTAATCAGTTAATTTTTATCATCTAACTGTTTAATCCAGCTCGCTTATTTGTGAAATCATATGGATTAATTTAAGTCAGTTTAAAGCAACACTAACAGCAAGAGTTGATGATTTTTCACATACCTGTGAGAGGGAGATTCATAGTTTGGCTTTGGGCTGTGGTAGAGGCCGGGCAGAAAGAGGTCTGAGCGTGTTTGGGCCGAGCTAACTTGGGCTTGTCCAGAGTTGGTTTGCTCGGTTGAGGCCCAAGTCCCACTCAGCCGAGATGATCGTCTACTAACCCGGGTTTCATGGTTTGCACATTTAACTCGGCGGGAAAGGTCTTCTGCGAACCGGCTTAACCTGTCTAGAGCTTAGCCGTACCAGAATGCTACTAAGCTCGGCTGTGAAGGAGCTCGGCGAGTGGCGCTGTTGGACTCGTTACGTAGCACGGTCATATGAGGCCGAGGTGATGCCACCGGGCTGCCTGTTCCCGCTAATGTCGTCCGGCGGTTTGATTAGGTAGTGTTTAGCTGGATTTGTGCTGACAGATGGGAGAGCAGCTCCACGTGTCAATAGACGAATGGATGCAGAGGTGAGCTCAGAAAATATATAAGCATGACTGCGCCCCCTATGCTGGGAATGGAACATCATTCGGTGAGAGAAACTTACATTCATTCAACTTCTCTTTCTTTCTCTCACAGTGTGTACTAACTTGACTGTCGGAGGGGTTTTCCGGCAACACACCGCCAGGTAGCTCACTGCCGTTGTGTTCTCAGGTTGATCGGATAGCCACGAAGCTTAGACGAAAGGAGTACGGACAGCGACGAATATCTCTTCCCTGTACAGTAATGGTTGAGAATATTTCATGATCATTGTATTTGTATTTATTTTCTCTTTTGATAGAGATGAATGTGAGGTAGATGAAAAAAATATTTATCAATATTTAATATTTTTTTTGAGAATTTGTCATGTATTTTTTTTTATAACTTCGTACACGTAGTCATGGGACAATTATAACTTGGATTTTTTAAAATAAGTATGTTTGTAACAATTTTAAAGATACAAAGGCCACAGTGCATTTTAAAAAGAACAGATAAGATATTTTAACATCATCAGAAAGCTACTTTAACATTATTTTAAAAAGATAAGATAAAATAAGATACTTCAACATTATCCAAAAGCGACTTTAAGATTATTTTAAAAAAATAAGATAAGACAATTTAACATTATCAGAAAGTTATTTAACATTATTTTAAAAGATAAATAAGATCCTTTAACATAGAGACAAGAGAAAATAAAAGGACATGAAAGATGCAGAACATAAATAAATAAATGACACGTGGCATTTTTTTAGTATGCTACATGGCACAATTATAAAGTATGTCAATAAAAATGCATTATTTTACTTAGGTGATATTTAATAAAGCTAAAAATTGAAAATTAAGTATTAAAAGGTAAATGTTGAATTTTTTAAATTGAAAAATTATTTGATAAAAATTTAAACGTTGAATTAAAAACAACTTGTTTGATATGTATAAGATCAAATTTGAAATTTATTATTTTCAAATTGTATATTTCAATTTTTATATTATGATGGTGGTGATAGTGATAGCGATAGAGATGGTAGTGGTAGTACAATGATGATAGTGCATATGGCAACAATAATAATGGTGATAAAGGTGGTGGTAGTAGTAGTGGTGGCAGCGACAGCAGCGGCGGTGGCAGCATTATGGTAATGGGGGTGGTGATAAAAGCGGTAGCGATAGCAATGGTGGTAGTAGTAGTGGACCAGTGGTGGTGCTAGTGGTGGCGGTGGCATGATAGTAATAGTGGTAGTAATGAGTTTAATAATATATATCAATATTTATATTTAGTATTTATAAATTCAATTACATATAAATTCATATGATTTTTAAAAAAAAAATTAAATTTTAGTTTACATTTTAAGAGAGACTTAAATTTTAAGTGATATCAAGTGTGGTTATCAAATGAGCTTATTGATTATTGATAGCTACTTAATACTTCAATTTTAAGTACTTAATTAGGTTATCAAGCACCCGTTATATTATATATGATTAGAATAATAATGAAAAGTTAAATAAATGGAAAATTCTATGTTACACATCCCATATGCATCATGTTGTGTATTTGTATGGTATATGTTACGTATTTTTGTGATAAATGTTACGCAATTTTTTTTATAGAGTTACGAAAATTTGTGATTTAGAAATGAAATTATGCATTTTGTATTATATTATGTGCTAGTGTATGCCCATGCGTGAAAGTACGGTGTAAATAATATTGTGATCAAAACACAATTGTAATTTTACACATATTATGTTAAAATTTATGAATTCTGTAGTATTTTTTGATGAAGATATTGAAAAATATATATATAAAAAATAGTATTCTTCTTAAAGAACTTGTAACAATTTTATTTGTACCACACGGTATATAGAACTCAAATAAAATAACAATTCCCCTAGCCTTAATGCAAATTAAGAAACAAACATATAAGAATAATGTTCACCAATATTGCAAATCAAACACTATACAAAATACATAAATCAAAGCTATTGTACATTTGTTAACATTTTATAATTTTAAAAAGTTAAAAAATTTCTAAACACTAAATAAAACACACCAGCAAGTGCTTTGCAATCTCAATAAATTAAATTGAAAAATGCTTATCATCATGTACTCTACAATTTCAAACCGTGTCTTCTTGCCACCGACCATTGGTGATGGCCGGTCGGCACTTTGTGTGGTCGACCGACCATTTAGTTGGCCGATGGCCTCCTTTTCTGGCCGGTACCACATTTTTGCCTCTTGCAAGCATGGTGTATGCCAGCTGTGCCAACTGGGATGCACAGACCCTACCCCTATACACATGTGTGGCTGTTTTGGCCCCTTTGCACCCTTTTTGATCCAAACTTCTTCTAGAAGATTGCACCCTTTGCTCAAGCTTCTTGAAAAAGCTTGACCCTTTGTCTTAGCTTCCTCAGGAAGCTTGCACCCTTAGCTTAGCTTCCCTTAGAAGACTTGACCC